ACTCAATTTTCTTAACTTAAAAATCACGTATACCTATATGAGTGTTTTTTTAATCACAGAGATCTGCAGAAAAACAATATTTTGGGATTATTCGCCAGGAAATCAAATCGAACCAGTAACGTCTTCAAAACAAGTCCAGCGGTGTTACTAACCATCACACTCCTCTACATTCGACTCGTGAACATCAGAACTTTCAGAGATACGGACAAACCTGTCCGTATGTCCAGTTGTTCGTTCGGACCGAGAGCCGCAATATATGGCGACGGTGGCATCTACATCTGAGGAACATCAAGAACCAGTGGCATCTACATATACAGGAGATTATACAACTTTTAAAGCCATTCCTTGTGTTTAGTGTACATGCCGTAAAACATGTTTGGAATCTTGATTTAAAGCTTGCGTGACTGCAGGGATTCATATTCTTGTTTCTTTCGGTAAAGTCACGTAGAAGGGAAACAATAAAATAATAAAAATATGAAACAATAAAATTCTCACGACGTTTCGACTGCAACACAAGCAATCATCATTAGGTGTGAAAACCACAGCAAGAAAATTTGAAAAAAGTGGCGGTTATTTTTAACGTTAGCACCACGGAGAACGATTTGGCAGTTATTCAGATGGACGAGCCCATCTATGTTCGGAAAAGAGGAAGGGGGAGACGAAAATAATGGATGCGGTCTGAAAACCACGGTAAGTGTGAACAATCAATTAATACCCGAAATGGTTTATCAAATCCTTCCAATGATTGCTAAGCCATAATCCATCTTCTCGGTTGAAATTGTCTCTGTGTTTGTATATGTGGAAAGCCTCATGAACGAAACTCTTATGGTAGCCAGATGGCTTGCAGAGAACCTCTGTCTTGGAGAAGTCAATGTCATGTGAGCCTACTGAATTATAACAGTGATCTGCCACGGCCGAGGTGTTGGTCCTACCGTGTTTTAGGTCTGCTTTGTGTTCACGGATGCGGTCCGAGACATGTAGTTTGGTTTCTCCAATGTAACTACTACCACAGAGGCAACTTAGTTTGTAGACGCCAGGGTACTGTATGTCCGGAATCACATCTTTTACAGACGGAACTTAATCACGGATTTTATGTAATGTGTTGAATCGGACCTGGATCTTGTGTTCATTCAAGATTTTAGATATATTTTTTGTGATCCCCGCAATGTAGGGTAAAGTGATGGTTTTGAATGGCTTCTCAAGAGGGTCCCTCTTCATGGTTGGAGTGATAGCTTTGCGGATTGTGTAGTCGGAGTAACCATTAGCCTTAAGAGCTTGGTGTACTGTGAGGGAAAAAAGTATTTGATCCCCTGCTGATTTTGTACGTTTTCCCACTGAAAAATAAATGATCAGTCTATAATTTTAATGGTAGGTTTATTTGAACAGTGAGAGACAGAATAACAACAACAAAATCCAGAAAAACGCATGTCAAAAATATTATAAATTGATTTGCATTTTAATGAGGGAAATAAGTATTTGACCCCCTCTCAATCAGAAAGATTTCTGGCTCCCAGGTGTCTTTTATACAGATAACGAGCTAAGATTAGGAGCACACTCTTAAAGGGAGTGCTCCTAATCTCAGCTTGTTACCTGTATAAAAGACACCTGTTCACAGAAGCAATCAATCAATCAGATTCCAAACTCTCCACCATGACCAAGACCAAAGAGCTCTCCAAGGATGTCAGGGACAAGATTGTAGACCTACACAAGGCTGGAATGGGCTACAAGACCATTGCCAAGCAGCTTCGTGAGAAGGTGACAACAGTTGGTGCGATTATTCGCAAATGCAAGAAACACAAAATAACTGTCAATCTCCCTCGGCCTGGGGCTCCATGCAAGATCTCACCTCGAGGAGTTGCAATGATCATGAGAACGGTGAGGAATCAGCCCAGAACTACACGGGATGATCTTGTCAATGATCTCAAGGCAGCTGGGACCATAGTCATCAAGAAAACAATTGGTAACACACTACGCTGTGAAGGACTGAAATCCTGCAGCGCCCGCAAGGTCCTCCTGCTCAAGAAAGCACATATAGATGCACGTCGGAAGTTTGCCAATGAACATCTGAATGATTCAGAGGACAACTGGGTGAAAGTGTCGTGGTAAGATGAGACCAAAATGGAGCTCTTTGTCATCAACTCAACTCGCCGTGTTTGGAGGAGGAGGAATGCTGACTATGACCCCAAGAACACCATCCCCACCGTCAAACATGGAGGTGGAAACATGCTTTGGGGGTGTTTTTCTGCTAAGGGGACAGGACAACTTCACCGCATAAAAGGTACGATGGACGGGGCCATGTACCGTCAAATCTTGGGTGAGAACCTCCTTCCCTCAGCCAGAGTATTGAAAATGGGTCGTGGATGGGTATTCCAGCATGACAATGACCCAAAACACACGGCCAAGGCAACAAAGGAGTGGCTCAAGAAGAAGCCCATTAAGGTCCTGGATTGGCCTAGCCAGTCTCCAGACCCTAATCCCATCGAAAATCTGTGGAGGGAGCTGAAGGTTCGAGTTGCCAAACGTCAGCCTCGAAACCTTAATGACTTGGAGAAGATCTGGAAAGAGGAGTGGGACAAAATCCCTCCTGAGATGTGTGCAAACCTGATGGCCACCTACAAGAAACGTCTGACCTCTGTGATTGCCAACAAGGGTTTTGCCACCAAGTACTAAGTCATGTTTTGCTGAGGGGTCAAATATGTATTTCCCTCATTAAAATGCAAATCAATTGATAACATTTTTGACATGCGTTTTTCTGGATTTTTGTTGTTGTTATTCTGTCTCTCACTGTTCAAATAAACCTACCATTAAAATTATAGACTGATCATTTCTTTGTCAGTGGGCAAACGTACAAAATCAGCAGGGGATCAAATACTTTTTCCCTCACTGTACGTGCGTGAGTTCACTGGCTCTGTGTTCCTGGTCGAATATGCATTGGGCTGTATGGTGCAGAGTCTTGATGAGAGAATTCTTCTGGGATGGATGGTGGTGGGAATCCGGTTTCAGGTAAGCATCCGTATGGGTTGCTTTCCTCTAGCCAGTGGCTCATTGAACCATCAGGTCTCTTTTTTATTAGGACATCCAAAAAAGGTAGCTTGCCATCTTTTTCGACTTCCATGGTAAATCTGATGGCTGGGTGTATGGAATTGATGTGGTCGAGGAATTGGTCTAGAGCAGGCCGACCATGTGGCCAGATGACAAAAGTGTCATCCACGTATCTCTTCCATAAGGTCGGGCGTAGAGTGGCAGTCTGGATGGCGCCAGTCTCAAATTTCTCCATGAAAATGTTGGCTACAACCGGAGATAGGGGGGAGCCCATTGGGGTGCCCTCTGTTTGTAGAAAGTTCCATTCCAAGTGAAGTATGTATTGGTTAAGCAGTGTCTCACCAGGGGGGGTACCTCAGTGTTTAGTCCTTGATGAACCAAGTCTTCAATGATTGCGATGGTGTCAGGTACAGGAACCTTGGTGAATAAGGAAACTACATCAAAACTAACAAGCAGGTCGTCTGGGGACAGGGAAATACACTTGATTGTCGTTACCAGGTGAGTAGAATTTTGTACCACAGAGGTGGGTTTTCCAGTGAAAGGCCGCAGGATTTCAGACAGAAAACGAGCCAGTTTGTAGGTGGGGGAGTTGATAGTAGAGACGATGGGACGAAGGGGTGTGTATACTTTATGTATTTTTGGTAAGCCGTACAATCTTGGTGGCCTGGCAGCAGAAGGTTTCAACGAGAACTGTTTGGTTTGATCAATTAATGGGGTTGAATCAGAAATTATTTTGTTAGTTTGTATGACGAGGCTGTTGGTGGGATCTCTCTTCATTTTTGTATAGCTGTCATCGTTGAGTAATTCTTGAATTTTGTTGTTATATTCTAATATCCATGATGACAGTGGCATTGCCCTTGTCGGCTGAGAGGATGACAATGTCATCCCTATTTTTTTTATTTATATAATTCAAAACGCTCATCTTTGCTGAGGTTGATAGCTGGCATCTTAGCGTTTTTGAGGGTTGCAGCGATTTCAGATCTTGATACGTCTGCAGCGATGTGACAAGCACTTTACTCTATATTGCGGGGATCACAAAAAAGATCTCCAAAATCTTGAATAAACACAAGATCCAGGTCCGATTCAACACATTACATAAAATCCGTGATCTGGTTCCGTCTGTAAAATATGTGATTCCGGACATACAGTACCCTGGCATCTACAAACTAAGTGCCTCTGTGGTAGTAGTTACATTGGAGAAACCAAACTACATATCTCGGACTGCATCCGTGAACACAAAGCAGATCTAAAACACGGTAGGACCAACACTTCGGCCATGTCAGATCACTGTTATAATTCAGTAGGCTCACATGACATTGACTTCTCCAAGACAAAGGTTCTCTGCAAGCCATCTGGCTACCATGAGAGATTCGTTCATGAGGCTATCCACATACACAAACACAGAGACAATTTCAACCGAGAAGATGGATTCTAGTTTAGCAATCATTGGAAGGATTTGATAAACCATTTCGGGTCTTAATTGATTGTTCACGCTTATGGTGGCTTTCAAACTGCATCCATTATTTTCGTCTCCCCCCTCCTCTTTTCCGAACATAGATGGACTCGTCCGTCTGAATAACTGCCAAATCGCTCTCCGTGGTGCTAACGTAAAAAAACTCCACTTTTTTCAAATTTTCTTGCTGTGGTTTTCACACCTGATGATGATTGCTTGTGTTACGGTCGAAACGTCGTGATAATTTGATTGTTTTATATTTTTATTATTTTATTGTTTCCCTTCTACGTGACTTTACCGAAAGAACCAATAATGTTTGAAATCGACAGGAGGATGGTGGCTTTCAAACTGCATCCATTATTTTCGTCTCCCCCCTCCTCTTTTCCGAACATAGATGGACTCGTCCGTCTGAATAACTGCCAAATCGCTCTCCGTGGTGCTAACGTAAAAAAACTCCACTTTTTTTCAAATTTTCTTGCTGTGGTTTTCACACCTGATGATGATTGCTTGTGTTACGGTCGAAACGTCGTGATAATTTGATTGTTTTATATTTTTATTATTTTATTGTTTCCCTTCTACGTGACTTTACCGAAAGAACCAATAATGTTTGAAATCGACAGGAGGAAAGTTAGACTTACGAACAGACCTGTGGAACCTAACTCATTCGTAAATAGAGGAGTCCTTGTATAAATACAGCAATCCCTCACCAACCGTGGGGGTTACATCCCTTAAAAAACTGCCGTAGTTGGCAAAACCGAGGCCTTGTCAGATATATTTGGGGTCATGGTAGCCATGGTCATGCTCGTCAAAGCCTAACCAGGTTGTCCTTTCCTCACTTAAACACAAATAAAATACACAACGTTATAAAATAAAAACAATGAACGTTCAAAGAACATAATTAAGGAAACAATAAAAATAATGTTACCTACCTTTAATACTGAGGGTTGAAATCCATGGTGATGATGATGACGTTGATGAGGTGATGGGAGAGGTGGTTGTGAGAAGGAAGAAGAGGGTGGCTTTGCCCACCCACGACCTCTACCTGGCGGTGGGAAAAGAGCGGTGGTGGAAGCTGGGAGACGAAACGGCAATGCAGAGAAGGAACGCAGATGGGAGATGAGACGATGATGCATGGAGGAAAGGCAGATGGGAGATGAGATGATGCATGGATGGAACACAGATGGGAGATGAGATGATGATGCATGGATGGAACGCAGTTTGCGGGTGGATTTGAAATTACAAGCGCTGGGTTTGCCCGTGCTAATTCGCGGATACACAAAATTCCAAACCGGCACGCCGAAGGAAAACCGTGGATACATAAATACCGCGGATGCATCGAAAAGAAAGAAAAAAAGCACGGCTGGCGAGGGATTTCTGTCCACACCGAAATTTAGTGGAGGGCGCCCGCGAGAAAACCGTCGTCACTTGCCACAGCTAACACTGTATGGAAGCATTCTTGAAGTCCACCCACATGTCCAGCATTTCCTGGGGTAGGAACCTGTGGAATATCATGGAGGACCTGTAGATGCATAGGGGGCTCTTCTTCTCCACCCCCTCCTCCAGGTTTTCCGCCTCGAGGCCGAAGGTGCGGAAGCCCTCGTGCTGCGTGACGGCGAGGCCGGCCTTCTCCAGGCACATCCCGATCCACACGTCGTCGATGGGGAACGGCTTGATGTCGCGTGACACCTCGTGGATCCTCACGGCGGCTGCCCGCGACATCACGAAGCCGCCGCCGCTCGCGTAATCCGGGTACGTCCACCGGCGGTACATCTCACGCGGCATGAAGTACTTGCTCTCGACGCTGCGTATCGGCGGCGCCTGCTGCTGCGTGCGCCCGACGAAGAGGGGCGCGGAGCCGTCGCGGCTGAACGTGGCGAGGTACACCAGGAGGTTCTCCACGTTAACGAAGACGTCGTCGTCCCCCTTGTAGACGTAGGCGACGGCCGGGCAGTAGGCCTCGAACCAGCGCAGGAAGTTGATGTCCTTGAGCGTGAGGTTGTAGAAGGAGTCGTGGAAGTCCCACTGGAGCAGGTCGCCGTAGAGGCGCGCCTCCAGGTCCACCATCCTCTGGACGTGCGCACGCTTGCCACGGTCGTCGTCGCGGCTGTCGGAGGGGGAAGGCGGCGAGGGTGGCCGCACGCCCAGCAGGAAGAGCGTGTGCACGACAAGGGGCCGCCCGTCGCCCGCCGTCGTCGTTGCCACGCCGTTGCGACCCCACGTGCGGCGGATGGCGTCGCGCCGGTCAAAGTTCGAGGGGCTGCTCTTGATGACGAGCAGCAGGAATGGACGCTGCGACTTTGGCTGCTGCTGGTCCGCGTCTCCGCCGCTGTTGTTACCGTCGCCACCACCACCACCGTCTCTGTCATCGCCTCCGCCGCCACACACCCCTGGGAAGTTGTGCAGCATCGGGAAGAGGCGGCAGTGGCGGTAGAGCACGTAGTCTATGGAGGGGGGACGGAAGGGGGGTGGGTGAGGGAATTGCGAGTGAGGAGGCAGGGTGGGAGGTTTAGGTGGATGCTGGGCGGAAGGGGCGCCGCGGTGACTAAGAGATGTTAACTACCTCGTCTGGTATGCAGGAGGTCTTGGGTTCCATCCCGACCCTGACGATGCCTGTGTAGCTGGCATGGGCTTAATGTAATGAATCACACGTATAATTGTGAATGGAGATAATGATGACCATGGATTGGACCCATAAATTCACGTGACAGCACAGTAGGCCATACCCACCAGTGGAGTAATCAATTCAGGGTATAGGGCACCCATTCAGTTTTGGGTGCACACTACAGATAACATGCACAGATTTACAGCTCCGTTAAAACATAGCTCTATACAGGGTGCAACAATACCACAATAAACACAGAGATACCTTGACTTTCGACCACTTGACTTTCGCCGCTTTGCTCTTTCGGCCGTTTTAAATTCTAAGCACATTTCAAATTTCGTCCACGCGCTTTCCTCTTTCGTCAAATTCCATCCCAAACCTTCCACGATGTTCGCGCCACGCGCCATCTTTTTCGTTCAGTCTTTGAATGTAAGTCGTTCAGTGAGCATCTCTTATATTTCTGTTTATTCCTGTATTGTTAATACTGTACTTATTTATGTGATTATACTGTAAACAATTCATAGTTATTTTTGTGATAACAGTCTAATACTACAGTGTTCATAGTTATTTTCGTAAAACACGTGTACAGTATCCATACTGTGCTTATTTTTGTGATTACTCTAAAGCACTTATTTTTATGCTTTAATATATTCATAATGGGTCCTAAGTGTGGTGATAGTAAAGCTAAAAGAACCCATAAGGTTCTCAATTTGCAAGAAAAGATTGACATTATTAAACTTAATGGGCAAGGCATGTTCTATGAACGTTTTAATATTGACTGTAGTTATTTGCATTACGTTTTGCGTCGGCCAAAATGCATTTACAAGCTAAATAAAGGCTCTGCTTTGACATTCGTTCATTTTTGACATTCGTCCATGCTCTGGTCCCTAAGCAGACAAAACTGTAAGGTATTCCTGTATCCCTCTGAGCTGCTCTGGAGACCACCTTGAGAAGATTCCATGGATGTGTTGACAATGATGGCGAACAAGTGGACACTCTTTGATTTTCTGAAGCTATTAACATACATTTGTTACCATGTTGCAGTGTATTATCTATTCTTTCTCCATTAAAAACGATACTCCCATGTAAGTGGTAACAATTTTTTGAAGCACGCTTTGTAACTGTTGAATAAATTATTAACTATTATTGTTATTATTCTAATATTGATTAACTGATAGAGATTAAGTAATGTTAATTAGCTGCTGATTGTTTAATTCACAGTTAAGATTTTTTTATAATTTGAGACGATTTTAAGAATTTAATCAATCTCGTCATTCAGGCGTGGTTGCAGAATGTTAACACTTGAACTAAATCCCATCAGTACAGGGATTGAGCAGTGAGGTGCTGTGTAACGTGGGTCGATTTGTGTGCATCTGGTCATAATTAAGGGTATGATAAAAAAAAAGTTTAAAAACAAGATGGCACCATGGTACTATATATACGAGTGCTAATAAGCTGTCAAGTTTGATAAATTAAAGTGATACGCATGTGATACGAATGTTATAGTGGTTAAAATTAGGGGTTAATTGTGTGATGGTTGATCAACTTTAGTGATATTTAGTTTTGTTGTTGGGTAAATAAACTCGCACAAAATGGCTGCCCTGCAGCTCTGTATGTAACATTGAGCTGATAGAGTGAGCCGAATTATCTTTGTATTTTGGTAGAAATTGTTCTGATTCAGATATGTATGAATACAATTGGATTATAAAATGTTGTTTTATTATCATACAAGCAAATCTATTTTAATTTGTGCAGTATTATTACAGTGGCTGTGACTAGGGTAGGTTGTTTCGGAGGCACTTAAGGTGTTTCTTTAAGGTGCTTTTGTTAAATGTTTCAGATGTTTTACGTTAATTTTGTATTTTATATGATAAGCAGGTGTTATCATCATTATTGAGACTTGGGTGGACACAGTACAGTACCGGGATTGAGCGGTGAGGTGCTGTGTAACGTGGAGTTGACTGGTGTGCATCTCGGTCATAATGCGCGAATGCTCCTCAGAATAACTCTTTGAAATAAAGAGTTGCCGTTCCACAACCCTCTGCCATCGCCTACGTCTGCATGGGGTCCCTCGGTGGTGGAGTCACTCGATCCTCAAGAGGAGGACAAAATACAACGCAGAGTGTTCACCCCGTCGCCTCCGAATTATTATTCTTGTCTGTATTACCTGGCCTGTCCCCTCCTCACGATCACGGGAGGGTGAGCCGGTTCCAGCTGCTGTATATTTGGAGTTTGCATCTCTCTCTCTCCCCATATCTGTTAACCCCTTATCAGTACCTACATTACTACAGACCAATTCAGACCTCATTGGTCACGCCGTGCCCCTTAAAAATCTCAACGTTCATCCTACAAAGTCTTATCACAAGGGAGAAGCACAAATAGACAAAAAAAATTTGCCCGTATTGCAACGGCTGTATGCCGTATGGACCTGCAAACTCAATTTCCCTTTCCAAGAATATGGGGTAAACCGTATGGGTTGACAGGTATCTCTCCCTGTGGTCGCTGGGTAAATTCAGGGCATATTATTGTTGAATTTGATAAGTTGTTATCATTCGGATGTTAAATTGTTTGGAGTTTTGTTGCGGATCCATTTTCACCGTATCACTGTTCAGAATCGCCATTGGAATATTTATACTGGAGGAAACCGATGAGCTGTGAAGCTCTTTTTCACAGATGTCCAATAGTATGTTAATGAGCACAGGCCCCAATGTAAAAACATCCAGGTGGTTACCAACAAACAGCACGTGCAAGGTGCCACGGTGGCTAGATGTTAACTACCTCGCCTGGTTACAGAAGGTCGTGGGTTCGATCCTGAACATGATGATGCTTGCTGTATATTTGGAGTTTACATATCTCTCTTTCTCCTCGTGGTCGTGTGGATTTTTGTCTGGGTCCTGGTTTTTCCCTCCACATTTAGAATTAATGTAGCACGTTTAGATTATTTGGCTGCTATAAATTTCCACACGATGATAAGCCACATTGTTGACCTATCATTTGTTGATAGCCAATTCGCTTCTGAAAAAGAGCCATATATAGTAGCAGCTTAGTGGGCCTTACCTGGTAAAATACAAATCAGGAATCGAACCCAGGCCCCGTTATTGCCATGTGGCACGAGGGATACCACTGCAGCCACCACCACCCTGGCGCCCAGCCTCATGTTACACCATGAGTGGTCCCATTACAGAGGAGTGAGCGTGGAGTCCACGGGGTTAAAAGGGACGATGTGTGTGTGTGTGGGTCAGCAGTGCTTGGAAGGGAATGGAGAGGAGCAGTGGCACAGCGGTTAGCGCGCCGTGCCACGAACTTGGCGGACCGAGTTCGACTCCCGATTGCGGGCAACACCAGTGACTACTATCTGAACCAGGCTTGGGCCTCATCGAGGTCGACTCAGCCTCAAATGAGTACCTGGTGCCTTCATAGGTGCTCGCTAACAGCACTTGCCCAAACAGACTGTTGAGGCTATATGGGGGATCTTTGTTCAATCTTTGTCCATGTATTTGTTGGAAGGGAATGGGAAGAGCACTAGCGCAGCGGTTACCGTACAGGGTTATAGACCCGGTGGACCGAGTTCGATTTCCATTCACCACTGGTGACAATCATCTGCATCGGTCCTGGGTCTGGGCCTGCCGTAGGTATACTCAGCCTCAAATGAGTACCTGGTGCGGTGTGTAGTAAACATCAGACAAAGGCAGCCGGGTGTAGTGTTCGCCACCCACTCCATCACGTGACGTTCTTAGGCGCTCGCCAAGAGCACTTGCCCCTATAACAGTCTGTGGAAGGCTATACGGGGGAACTTTGTCTTTCTTGGAAAGGATCACCGGTTTCTACAGAGACGCAGGATTACGACTGTACGCTAATGCATTCAAGAGATCCTGGAGATGTCTCGAGATGACTCGAGATGGATGAGCGGATGTGAATTGGAAACGGAGCTCAGCTGGAACTGAAAATAACACGCGCACCCTGTCAATATTGGACTACGCGCGACACACATTAGCGTCTGTTCGATGTCAAACACATCAGTCCAGATGTGTGATGTCGCATGCTATGGAATGCAAGCCGTGCCCTAGCCATTCCTTCGTTTTCTCACTCGGTAAGATTCCAGACCATTGGTTTGTTCGGCTGGCTGGGCTTGGAGTCGGGATGAATCGGCATAAGGCACTACCACTAGAGTACAATGTCCGTGCTCATGCATAATAATCCAGAAGTATTGTTCACTATATTCGTATAATCGAGTGAGCAGATTTATATGTATGTCCGTTGAACTTCTTTCGCACCGTACATAGCCAACCGCGTCAATCGAAGGTGCAGGGAGGAATACAATAAACTATACACAAAAAGCAGTTCTAAAGAAATTAGTTTTCAATTAAGTAAAGTGGTGTAGTGTATAGTGTATATTGTACAGTAGTGCATATTAATGTGTACAGTTTAGTGTATAGTAGTGTAGTATATAGTAGTGTAGTGTACAGTAATGTAGTGCACAAAAAAAGCAGTTCTAAAGAAATTAGTTTGTCAATCTAGATTAATGAAAAGTGCGTAGCTCCCAGTGGCTTCCTGATATCAGAAGGAAGAGCTTTCCGGACGGCTGCAGAAGCGCATCTGAGAGCGCTGCGCGATGCCAGTGACCGCCTTTGTTCGACGGCCAACCAAAAGCAGCTGCTGCGAGGATGAGCGGAGCTTTATGTGATCATAGTTTATGCTCCTTGACGAGACAACAAGACGTGACCTGCCAAGGCAGCGTTATGGACTGTTCCGGCTACAAGTGTAGAGTAGGGATGTACGCAGTGCGCGCAGTCGAGCGGGTGCAATTGGGGACGAGCAGGCGTGCGCGTTGGGGCACGAGATTGGCGCCGGAGAGGCGGCAGTAATGAAGGTGAGAAGCGTAGATCGAGCGGGTGCAATTGGGGACGAGCAGGTGTGCGCGTTGGGGCACGGAGTTGGCGCCGGAGAGACGGGAGATGGGGGCGATGATTATGGATTAGCGATTGCGAGAGACGCCGTGGAGATGACAGCTTAAGTGGGGGCACATGAGGACTTGGAAGGGGGAGGGGTGTATAAAGAGGAGTGTGCGTGAGTAGCGGAGAGTTGTTCGGGGACCAAGAGAGGAGACGTCTCGCCGCTGCCGCTCGGGCCGTCAGCGGGACCTTGCCCCTCATGCCGTCGCCGGGGCGGGTGTTGGCTGAACCCCCCGCCCGAGACAGGCGGGTTTTGGGTACGAGGCAGCGTGGGTAAGAGCAGGGGGACAGCGGCGAGATAGGAGCGGGTAGGTGCGGTGCGGGAAAGGTGAGATAAGGTAGGAGGCGGAAGCGGCGTGTTTGATGACAGTGAGAGGCAGTCATAGGTGTGCCTACAACTGGTGCGAGAGTAGGATTAATAAAGTGTAAGCAGGTGACCTGTTACTCTGTGTCAGTGTGCTTCATTATATACGCTACACAAGTAAACATCCCTATCACCTAACGATGTAAATTCGACTGTTACATTGATTTCAGTTCATGTTTATATTTGTTGTTTAACCACGATTAGAACCCAATAGCTCATTGTAAGCGTGAACCTGGGTCACCATCTAAATAGAAATCATCTAAACATAAATCAAAGCAGAGACAACGTAATTGAACTTAGACGAGAGACAACCAGATAGAGATCAGAGCAGAGATCAAAGAAAAGTAGTTCTGTGACGTCATCTTTTTTGGGGGGGTCGAGTGATGTTGCGACGCTTGCTGTGACGACCGCTCTCGGAGGTGGAAACACCATGACCCCGCGACCCCACAACCCACCACCCCACGATCCTGTGACCCCACGATCCCGTGACCCCATGACCCCACAGCCCCACAACCCCGTGGCCCCACGATGACCCCGGGAGCGCACCGTCGCCCGTCACCTTTGAAGAGGGGGTCGAAGGACTTGAACCACCACCGCTTGAGGTACTTGGCCTTGGGCTCGCAGGTGTTGTGCGTGATGTCCCAGCCGCGATGCTCCGGCATCCCGCTTGTCGTGTTCGTGGTGGTGGTGGCGGCGGTCGCGTTCATCTGCACCGCCGCCTCGAACGCTTGCTGGCTGGATGGCAACGCGAGAGTATGCGGGGTCCATTCCTTCGCCTGTATCAACTTGATATCTGGGGGAGTGGTCGAGGGACGGGATACGTCTCGGATTTAAACATTTCGGATTACAATTTCAACAATGTTAAAACGAAACTTTTTTTTTTCTTTCACCATGTAAAGGCCAACTGAGCTATGTAGCCCTTTTCTCAGAAGCGACCTGGCCATCGCAAATGATGGCTCAACGAAGTGGCTTATCACCGTCCCGTGTAAATTTATAGCAGTCGTCAAATACTCTAAACTAGTGGTTCGTAATATTTACTGCAGCCTTGCACCCCATTTGGTTTCGATAGCAACGCAAGCGGTCGTCCTCAGGCGGAAAAAAATATAATCCAGCAGTGGAACTGCTGAACTAGCGAGATAACAGCTACAATATATAGCCTCCTTGTTGTAGCTGTTATCTCGCTAGTTCAGTAGTTCTACTGAACTAGCGAGAGAACAGCTACAATATATAGCCTCCTTGTTGTAGCTGTTATCTCGCTAGTTCAGTAGTTCTACTGCTGAACTAGAAAGATAACAGCTACAATACATAGCCTCCTTGTTGTGGTGGCTCTCTCGCTAGTTCAGCAGTTCAACTGCTGGATTATATTTTTTTCTACCTGAGGACGACCGCTTGTGATTTAATTTATTTTCTACCTACGTGACTTTACCGAAAGAACCAAAGAGTATGGATTCCTGCAGTCACGAAAGCTTAAAATCAACAATGTATAATGTTAATACGTAAATAGGGTTTGATGAAACAAAGTACTTTGTACTTAAGTGACCTTGCTTAATTTGTGTTTTGATGATTTACCTTCTAAAAACAATCTGGCCATGTCTCACACCCCCAGGGGGTACAGCGTGTAGCCCAGGTTAAGAACACTGCTTTAAACCGTGTGAAAGAAGTTCAACATAAATAAACACATGATGTTAAATCTAAATGTGGATGGAGATAACCGGAGGACCAGGAGAAAAATCCACGCGACCAGAGAAAGAGACACCCCAAACTCCAAATATACAGCAGGCGTGGATCGAACCCACGATCTCCTGTATACCAGGCGACGTAGTTGACATCTCCTAGCCACCGTGGCACTAACAATGACAATCATTTACATTTGTATTCACTCACTGGCGAAGAGACGACTCAGTGGCGTGAGGTGAAATTAGCAGAGCTTTGATATTTCCAAAATTAAGTGCGGAACCGAATCGACCGCGATGGGCCTCTGTGAGTCACTGGTGACCGGGCTTAGACGATCAACTAACCACATCTGAGTTCCCAGCTTAATCGCGACTCACGGCTCTACGTAAGTCTTCGGATCTCTATGTCAGCATACGGGTCTCTACGTAAGTTACTGGTGACTGATCTTGATTTGAAGTTTTCGTGACTGCAGGGATCCATACTCTTTGGCTCTTTCGGTAAAGTCACGTAGGGTATAAAATAAAATAAGTTAAATCACGACGTTTCGATTGCAACACAAGCAATCATCAGGTGGGAAAACCACAGCAAGAAAAAAATGTGTTTTTGTATTGGCGGACCCTGATGCCTGCGATGCTGGCGATCCTGGTGTTCATGACGCAAAAAAACATTTTTTCTTGCTGTGGTTTTCCCACCTGATGATGATTGCTTGTGTTGCAATCGAAACATCGTGATTAAATTCATTTTATTTTATACCTACATGACATTACTGGTGACTGAGCTGATAATCAAATCACAACTCAGTTTATGTGTGAGCCTATTGATATATATGTAAGTCTATGGGTCTCTATGTAAGTTTATGGGTCTCTATGTAAGGCTATGGATCTAGATGCGAGTCTGGATTTCTATATGAGTCTATGGATCTAAGTGTGAGTCTATGGATCTCTGTGTAAGTCTATGGATCTCTACGTGAGTCACTGGTGACTGGGCTAAGACCATAAACTCACTGAACTTGAAGAACCCAGTTTACCCCACAACTCAGTCTATATGTCTCTGTGTAAGTCTATGGATCTCTATGTGAGTCACTGGTGACTGCCCTAAGACAATCAACTCACTGCAGTTGAAGAACCCAGTTTAACCGTAGGCAGCTGAAACCTGGATCTCGGTGATGTTGAGTGTTGTCAAATGTGCCGGTGGACCACTTTCAACGCAGCAGCAGAAGCAGCAGCATCATCACCATTGACTGGCTCTGGTATAAATGCCCACACGATGATGACCAGTCCCATTGTTGAGCTATCATTTGTGGCCTGCTCCGTCTTCTAACGTACGGCAAGTACAGGGAGTCATCTACCTACGAATGAGTTAGGTTCTCGAGGTTTATTCGTAAGTCGATTTGTTGTAAGTTCAACTTTACACCTGTCGATTGCAAACACGTTGTATGGCACGTACACTAAACACGGGGAATGGCTATAAAAGTTGTACAATCTCCTGTAAGTGTAGGCTATAAAAGTTGTACAATCTCCTGTAAGTGTAGATGCCACTGGTTCTTCACGTTCTGCAGATGTAGATGCCACTGGTTCTTCACGTTCTGCAGATGTAGATGCCACTGGTTCTGAACGTTCTGTAGATGTAAATGCCACTGGTTCTGAACGTTCTGCAGATGTAGATGCTACTGGTTCTGAACGTTCTGCAGATGTAGATGCTACTGGTTCTTCACGTTCTGCACATGTAGATGCTACTGGTTCTTCACGTTCTGCAGATGTAGATGCCACTGGTTCTTCACGTTCTGCAGATGTAGATACCACTGGTTCTGAACGTTCTGTAGATGTAAATGCCACTGGTTCTGAACGTTCTGCACATGTAGATGCTACTGGTTCTGAACGTTCTGTAGATGTAAATGCCACTGTTTCTTCACGTCCTGCAGATGCTACTGGTTCTGAACGTTCTGCAGATGTAGATGCTACTGGTTCTTCACGTTCTGCAGATATAGATACCACTGGTTCTTCACGTTCTGCAGATGTAGATGCCACTGGTTCTTCACGTTGTGCAGATGTAGATGCCACTGGTTCTTCACGTTGTGCAGATGTAAGTGCCACCACCGCCATCTATTACACGGTGGTCCAACTTACGACTCTTGGTCCGAACGGGCAACTGGACCATACAGACGGGTTCGTTCGTATCTCTGAAAGTTCGTCAGTCGAATGTTCGTAAGTAGAGGAGTCCCCTGTGTGCGCAAACCAGAGCGGCGCGTGGGGATGATGCAAGTTGTTAGCGACGCGGCGGTTCCCCATTGCCTGAATCGTGGGTGGTTGGGCAGGCACTCGCACTGCACACGGCCATTCGCTTCTCTTAACCGGTCGCTGGAGCGCCGTTAAGTCTTTCCGTGGAGGATCAAAGCCGCGCGGAGCAAATTTGTGGCCAGGTCGCTGCCGGAAAATAAGTTTCCATACCTCGGTGGGCTTCACCTGGTTAAGATTAAATTTTCACGTCGTTTTATTTGTGTGTAAATATATTTTAAAAGCAATTCGCCTATCGTTCCTATACTCTTGTTGTTCCTACTCTTTGTTGTTGTAACGTTCTGACCCCCGATGCCCTCTTACCGGACACCTGTGCGACGGAGAGCTTTGGAGCTCATCAGATTCCTCCTGCAGTCTAAAATAAAGATTCCGATTCTGTTACGCACGCACGCCTCCCGTCATCCTCACGACGACGACGACTTCACACACCCCGGGAGACGTAGTTTTTGAAGAACATGTGCGTCATGAACACCAGGATCGCCAGCATCGCAGGCATCAGGGTCCGCCAACACCTCCTCAGCTTCTGCATCATGAACATCCTTTCCTGGACGCACCGTCGCCACCAACGAAGACAAAGACAAAGGTTCAACCCCGGTATAGCCTGTAACAGACTGTTGAGGCAAGTGCTGTTAGCGAGTAGCAGCGTCTATGAATGCCAGCACGGTGCACGAGGGGGGTGGGTGGCCAGCACCACGCCCGGCCGCCTTTGTCTTCCCCAGCGGCGATGTTTACTACACACCGCACCAGGTACCCATTTGAGGCTGAGTCGACTTAGGGGAGGCCCAGGACCGGTTCAGATAATCGTCACTGGTGGTGCTGGCCATGAGCGGGAATCGAACTAGGTGCACCGGGTCTTAGCGCAGCACGCAAACCGCTGCTCATACCACCATCACCACCATCATCATCATCATCATCGTCATCATCATGGACGCCATATTTGGAGTTTGCATCTTCTCCCCAAGGACGCATGGAGATTTGTCAGAGTCCTCCGATTTTTCCCTCTGCATTTAGAATCAACATCACGCGTTTAGAGTATTTGGCTGCTATACATTTCCACTTGATAAGCCACGTTGTTGAGCTATGATTTGCGGCCAGGACACTTCTGAGCTGTGGAAATTTACAGCAGCCAAACACTCTAAACGCGTGGTGACGTTGATTCTAAAAGTGGAGGGAAAAACCGGAGGACCCGGAGAAAAATCCACGCGACCACGGGGAGAGAGAGAGAGAGACACACACAAACTCCAAATATCCAGCAGGTCTTCTTTGGTTCTTTCGGTGAAGTCACGTAGAATGATAATAAAATAATAAATTGATAAAATAAAATAACACAATAATATTCTCACGACGTTTCGGCCACAACACAAGCGGCCTTCATCAGGTGAAGGGGGGCGAGACTGGTAGGACAGCGCTGTCCTACCAGACAGTCTCGCCCCCCTTCACCTGATGAAGGCCGCTTGTGTTGTGGCCGAAACGTCGTGAGAATATTATTGTGTTATTTTATTTTATCAATTTATTATTTTATTATCATTCTACGTGACTTCACCGAAAGAACCAAAGAAGATGAATCATTGCAGTCACGAAAGCTTTAAATCGAAATTTATCCAGCAGGTGTCAGGGTCGGGGTCGAACCCACGCACTCCTACATACCAGGCGAGGTAGTTAACCTCTTCTAGTGACCATGATGATGATGATGAGAGAGACAAGCAAACTCCAAATATACAACAGCAGGCGTCAGGTTTGGGACTGAACCCACGAACTCCTGCTGCAGACCAGGCGAGGTAGTTGACATCTCGTCACCATGCTGATGATGATGATGAGAGACACACGAACTCCAAATATACAGCAGCAGGCGTCCGGGTCGGGATAAAATCCACGACCTCCCGCAGACTAGGCGAGGTAGTTAATATCTGGCACGTCAACATCAATGTGCCTACAAAGCCACGTCGGCTCTGTTCAAATACACATTGACAGCTGAGACTGCTGCTGTGCACTCACAACGCTCGTGGAAAAACGACGGCAAAACTCTTGAGAGAGAGAGCCATGCCATAGGTAAACAAAGGATAATAACAACTCGAAGCATTTGCGTGTATGTTGAACTTCTTTCGCAAACGCCACAAGGCCAACCGCGCTAATCGGATATGCGAGGGAATGAAAACAAAGTATGGGTCTCTGTGGTGAGTTCTAAAGGAATTAGTTTTCAATCTAGTATTGCGGTGTAGTGTAGTGTGTGTTGTGTATAATGTAGTGTATCGCGTAGTGTATAGTGTAGTGTATAGTATTATAGTGTATAATGTAGTGTATAGTATTGCAGTGTATAGTGCACTATAAAGTAGTGTAGTGTATAGTGGAGTATATAGTGTCGTGTATAGTTGCATAGTGTATAACAGTTCTATATTTTGAACTTCTTTCGCATCGTATGTAGCCAACCGCGCCAATCAAAGGGCCCAACAAGTTGCCGGACTCGCGCTCATCCTGCGATGGTGCCGACGTCACGCGGCGGTGCCGATGTCCATCGCAATCGCACGTTACAGGAATCAGAAACCGGTCCCGACCCTACGGCCCGCGAAAACTGGAGCCTGGCGGAAAGGTCACGCTCACGGGGTGCAAGCGACGGAGATGGGCTTCCTGTCGCAGGGTGGCAGGGCTGTCGCTCGCTCGTCACCGTGGCGTGTGCGATGACCACCACCGCCGCCACCACCACCACCACCACCACCGCCGCGTGACTTTTCTTTCGTGTTGCGCGGGCTGCATTTAGCGCCACAGCGCGTGGATTTATAGCGATTGTTTGTTTGCGTTGCTGGTGACTTTGTGTGTTTCGTATCAGAATCGCCTCCAGTGCTGTTGCTGCTGGCGGCAATAAAAGTTGTTTAAAAGTCAAAAGTCTCTCTCCGGGATTGGCTGAGAAGCGGCGGGCCATCCGCCAGAGACTCAACGTCCAGCCGGCAACTATTGAGCGTGGAAGTGAAGCCATCCAGCTACGGTGGATGGGGTCATCTGCCAAGGAAAGACTCCCCCCATTTCCCCATTCCCCCACCCCCCCGCGGGAAACTTTCAAAGCGACGTCCTCCAGGCAAAAGAGCCAGATGCCGCACGCGACCGCGCCGCAAAGACCGGGGCGGTGGTGGCGCCTGGCCGAAGCGAGACCGGCGATCCGGGTGCCATGGCTGATGCTGCTGGCGGAGGACAGGGCAGTGTTTGAACATTTTAACACAACTGTTTTATTGCCAGTAAGGGTAACACCTATTGTTATTGTTTCATAAAAGGCTCTGCCACGCGTGTGGCATTGTCCTTGTGCTGTTCGCCTTTGGCGTTCTCTGGTCTGACACTGGGGGTGGAGTCACTGCCCCCGCGACCCGATTCAGTTCGGAAAAGTAGGCCGATATTGATTGAGATATTTATATACGAAGCATGACTACGTTCTTTTGCGAACAAAATATAAAGGAAGGGAAACGTTTATTTTTTTTTTTACATAATTGGACCAAACACAACCGGTATCCGGGAACGAAAAGTGAGGTCCGCACGGAGAGCCGGGTCTCGGACTCCTCCGCGGATTATTTACGACAGCTTACGTCAGTGAAGAAACTTGGAAGAGTCTCGGGTGAATGTCGGTGACTTAATTCCAAAATCTATTTACTATTTTACGGTGTTTTATTTTCAGCAGTTAAGGCCCACACTGAGCTGCGATGGGTCCACTTTTTTTTTAGCAAGCGACCTGGCTTTCATAAATGATAGTGGCTCAACGAAGTGGCTTATCGTCATCACGTGGAAATTTATAGCAGCAGCTAAATATTCCAAACGCGATCATGTCGGTGCTGAATGTGGAGGGGGGGGGGGGAAACGGAGGACCTGGAGGAAAATCCACGTGACCACGGGGCGAGAAAGAGACACACAAACTCCAACTATACAGCAGGCGTCAAGGTCGGAATTGAACGCACGACCTCCTGCATATCAGGTGAGGTAGTTAACATCTCCTAGCCACTGTGATGATAATGATGAGAGGGACATGCAAACTCCAAATATACAGCAGGTGTCAAGGGTCGGGAATCGAACCCACGACCTCCTGAATACCAGGCGAGGTAGTTAACATCTCCTAGCCACCGCGACGCCCCTACGTAGTGACAGCAACCATACTTACATGAACACGGGAGCGGACCACCTTAATTTCGGGTCGGGCGATGACGATGAGAGGGGAAGGCAGTGGCAGTCCAGCGTCCCGGCGCTACCAACGAATGTTCCCCCAAGCTCCACTGTCCTCTACATCAGTGCCGGATGATCATAATCGCAAAAGTAGCTACACCATGTGTAGTAGCTACTACACATGTAGTAGCTACTACTACATGTGTAGTAGCTACTACACATTAGTGGCTACTACACATGTAGTAGTAGCTACTACACATGTAGTAGTAGCTACTACACCATGTGTAGTAGCTACTACACCATGTGTAGTAGCTACTACACCATGTAGTAGCTGCACAAGTAGTAGCTACTACACATGTAGTAGCTGCACATGTAGTAGCTACGGGCTCCGCACTTTCAAGGGCCCCGCGCTAAATGCTTTCAAGCCGATATATTAAGAAATCGTCGCCAAATTATGATGAAAAATAAGAATAGATTTTACCCTTTCTGGGGAACAAAACGTGAGGGGTGTTAAGATGTTCAAACACCAAATATAAACTTTGTGCAAGACACCAAGTCTGCATTAACCACAAAACAAACATGGCTCTGATAATTATATATGGGCATTGTCTTTGAAACTCATTGGCCGACACCAATATTAGACCAGAGAACACCAAAAGGCGAACAGAATAAAGACGATGCCACACGTATCAGAGCATTCATAGCTTGGGTCGAACAGTTATATTCATCTTATCACCATAATAGAGTTGTTTGGGATAGATTTCGTAAATATAAATGCGTCGTTAAACCCGATCTAACCCAAACAAAATCCATACTACGGATAATATTGGTCGCGAAAGCCCAAGCGTTAAACTGATCTATGTTATAGTTAAATCTGATATGGTTATATCTGGTATGGTTATAACTGTTATATTTATATCTGATATAGTTAAATCTGAGAGAGTTACATCTGTTACAGTTATATCTGGTAAGGTTATATCTGTTATAGTTATATCTGGGAAGGTTATATCTGTTATAGTTATATCTGGTAAGGTTATATTTGTTTTAGTTATATAAAAAAAAGGTCCCATAAATATCGGCCAATTGGCTACACGTGTGGGAGGAAACCGAAGCACCCTGAGAAACCCCACGCGTGCGAGGGTGAACCACTCGATCCCGTACAGACGGAACGGGCGGAGTCCACGTTTGTTGCTGTACTGCCGCCTTCTCCCTGGCAAGCCCGGGGGCACGGTTCCTCCTCGATGCCCGCCACCCACGGGCAAGAAGGGAGTTTCACACGGCCCATCCGTGCGGTGATCCACCAACCCTCGCTGCTGCCTCCACAGCGCTGGGATTACAGGCGGCCACGTGCGGCAGCAGCAGCAGCAGCAACAACAGCAGTGCAGCCACCAACCCACCGCCGTAGTTAAAATTGTCAATGACAAAAAT